CTGGTATGTTGTTAATAATGACGTCTAGTCACACTGGTATGTTGTTAATAATGACGTCTAGTCACACTGGTATGTTGTTAATAATGGCGTCTAGTCACACTGGTATGTTGTTAATAATGGCGTCTAGTCACACTGGTATGTTGTTAATAATGGCGTCTAGTCACACTGGTATGTTGTTAATAATTGGCGTCTAGTCACACTGGTATGTTGTTAATAATGGCGTCTAGTCACACTGGTATGTTGTTAATAATGGCGTCTAGTCACACTGGTATGTTGTTAATAATGGCGTCTAGTCACACTGGTATGTTGTTAATAATGGCGTCTAGTCACACTGGTATGTTGTTAATAATGGCGTCTAGTCACACTGGTATGTTGTTAGTAAAGGAGTACCTTAGGGTCAGTGTTTTTTATTTGCATTAATTATATTGTCAGAGATATTATTAACAAATTTGTAAAGTTTGCTGATGATATTAAACACTTGGATATTTCTAGCTGTTATTGAGAACGCAGGAGTAAAACGGAATGGTTTGGATCAATTGGTTAGTCGAACAAATATTTGACAAATGATATATAACTGCAGTAAGTTCAATACAGTGCATTTGTGTTATCATAATTTGGATCAAACGTTTCATATAGATGAGTACTTACCCAATATCCAGTATCAAGAAACACATCTTGGAATATTGGTGGATAAGTCATTCAAACCATTGAGGCAGTGTTCTGTTACTGGTAATAAAACTAATGGAATTTTAGGTCTATTCATAGACATATAAATTACAAGCCAAAATAGGTAATTATAAATCACTGGTTAGATCTCATTTGGAGAATTGTATACAATTTTGGTCTCGTCATCTAAGAAAGGATATCGACTATTGGGTGTATTTGTGGGTGAATGGGTTATCTTATCAGGATAAGTTAAGGATAAGTTTTATCTTGATGTTATTGAAATTTACAACCTTGTCCGTAGGGATCGATAAGATAAATAAACTTTGATTTGTTTTTTTTTCTATATTCTGAAGACAATAGGACGAGAGGACAGAAGTTTAAAATTTGAAAATGAAGATTTTGCTACAGTTTCTTATTTTTAACGTAGTAATTGGCTTATGGAATGAGTTGCCATTTAACTGGATAATTGGCAGATAGCCCCCGAGTAGCTTTGCGTGAATTTCAAAACAAACAAACATACTTTTTAATGACAAGTAAAATGATTTTCGTTTCATCTGAAGTTTCTCTGATAATGTTTTATTGCCTCCTATAAGTTATTGATCATCTTTACAGGCAAATCTGGACGTAATGGTCTGGATCCATGGAGGATTTCTACAGTTTGGAAGTGGTCATCAGGCTGGACTTTGTCCTTCCGGAAAATTGGCCAAAACGTTGAATGTGGTGTTTGTTAGTTTCAACTATCGAGTGTTCGCTCTCGGATATCTTGCTCTCAACATTTTCACAGATAACAGTGATAACAAGGGAAATTTTGGGTTATCGGACCAAATTATGGCTCTAAAATGGATCCATAGAAATATAAAGAAATTCGGAGGCGACCCTAAAAAGGTAATATCGTATTTAACATTATTCACAATTGCCTACATAATTTTTTAAAATCTTAAACTCGTGTTAAAGCTCGCGTGTAATTTATGAAAAATATTTATTTATTTAAGTTTATAATTTGGGGAAAAAAAATCTTCATAGTTCATATTCGGGTAACAAGATCCATATGAAGTTTACGTCACTAGTGTAACATGTTGATTCAAAAGAATGTTACTCGATTGAGCTTTATATGGTGTTATGAGGGATTAGTTTGATTGACGTAATTTTAGTTACTTAAAGGTTTGAAAAACAGTGTTTTAAGCTATTCAGCTAGCAATAGAACTCGTATTTATGTTACTTTTACAAGTGTAATAGACTGTGCTAAAAATCTTGCTTTTCATTGGCCTAATCGATCTGATGACAGCTGATATTCCTGAAAAGTGTACATGTCAGCTAGCTATTACAGGAGACATTAAGCTAATGGAAGCTAATGCGTTTCGTACAATCATATACGACACATACAAATCTGAAGAAATATTAGGATCATAGATCCGGTTAGTAAAGTATTCTTTTTCTACGAAATAGCATAAATGCGCACATATAAGTAAGGAAGGAGACTGAAGTTTAAGTGTAACAGAAAAATCCAATGTTTGTCTTTTCTTTTGTAATTTATGAATGGAGTGTTTAATCCTTAGTGAGCTTTTACCTGATATTGTTTGCGATTATGAAAAACATATTGCATTGTTGCTTGATTTGCCTACCGTTATGAAAGGCATATTGTATTGTTACCTGATATTGTTTGCGATTATGAAAGACATATTCCATTGTTGCTTGATTTGTCTACCGTTATGAAAGACATATTGTATTGTTGCTTGATTTGTCTACCGTTATGAAAGGCATATTGTATTGTTACCTGATATTGTTTGCGATTATGAAAGACATATTGTATTGTTGCTTGATTTGTCTACCGTTATGAAAGGCATATTGTATTGTTACCTGATATTGTTTGCGATTATGAAAGACATATTGTATTATTACCTGATTTGTCTACCGTTATAAAAGGCATATTGTATTGTTACCTGATATTGTTTGCGATTATGAAAGACATATTACATTGTTGCTTGATTTGTCTACCGTTATAAAAGGCATATTGTATTGTTACCTGATATTGTTTGCGATTATGAAAGACATTGTATTGTTACCTGATATTGTTTGCGATTATGAAAGACATATTGTATTGTTACCTGATATTGTTTGCGATTATGAAAGACATATTACAGGATTTCGGTGAATTACGTATTGTTGAACATCATTATTTCAGTCACTAAATCGACAGTTTTGATTTATTTAACTTCTTTTACTCTATCGTTTCAGATAACAGTCTTTGGAGGAGATGCTGGAGGCGCTTCTATTTTAGCAATGATGACGTCACCTTTGTCTAAAAATCTCTTCCAAAGAGCTTGGCTTAGTGGCCCTGCGATGATTTTTAATAGAAGTTTTAATGAAGCAAACAGACATAACGAAGCTTTCTTCCTAAGAAGATCTAATTGCACAGAGATTAGCTGCTTATATAACCTCTCGGCCAAAAAGGTTATCAATTACTACCTGGGTAAAGATGATCCATCGTTTCGTATTCGAGATCAAAATGATCTTCCAATTCAAGGAATTTTTCCTGAACAACTTGTTGCTGTAGGAGGTAAACGTTGCGATAAATTATCTCTATAAACGTAAAAGGTGGCATATTATAACAATTATAATAAAAAAATTAAGTTTTATAAAGACATTTTAAAGGTGATTTTGAACGGGAGATTTTTATGGCCGCCATTTTGTTTCAAGACGAACCCTACTATTAATTAAGTAATACCATACCTAATGATACTAATTACTGAAATGTCGTGATTTCCTTCAACTGTCAAACGATTAAGAGCTATTGATTATAACGTTTCGAACACATGATTTACGTTGGAAGAACCTCTATGAAAGCTATGTGAACTTTACTAGTGATCTCTCCTCTTTAACAAACACGAATCCTGTAACAGATCCCAATTAATCTTTTGAAACCCTCTCTATCGTGAAACGTGTAACTTGAACATATAAGAATCCCTTAACAGTTAGCAATTAATCCTTTAAAATCCACGTTATCGTAAAACGTTTAGCTTGAACTTATACGAATCCTGTAACAGATCCTAATTAATCCTTTAAAACCCACCTTATCGTAAAACGTTTAGCTTGAACTTATACGAATCCTGTAACAGATCCTAATTAATCCTTTAAAACCCACCTTATCGTAAAACGTTTAGCTTGAACTTATAAGAATCCTTTAACAGATCCTAATTAATCCTTTCAAACCCACCCTATCGTGAAACGTGTAACTTGAACTTAGTTTGGTTTTTTTAAACCGAAGTTTCTTTCTATTGAGCTAGAAAATCGTATAAAAGGGTATGTGCCAATAATTTAAATAAAACGTTCAAATTTCAGATGAAAAATTAACAAACAACTTCATAAGTTATTCAAAATGTATTAACTCCCAAATAATGTTATTATGGTTCGTTTTCATGCATTAGAACACCTAGTCTTTTTAAACAATCTTTAGTTTGTATGTGTTGTTGTGTTTTCTGGAGTACCACCGAATCTTGCCAGAACTGCGGTGTAAACTGTTTATTGATTAACACGAATTTTTCTTATAACTAAAGCCTGTTTTCATCTAAGAACAATAATAAGAAATTGTGATCTTGTCTATTGAAACGCATGAAAATGAACCATGATTTAATTGGTTTTGTTTTATGTTGAAATAAACAGAAATTTTCGATGGTAGTTTTAAGTTATTAATATATGTTTGTTTTGAATTTCGCGCAAAGCTACACGAGGGCTATTTGCGGTAGCCGTTCCTAATTTAGCAGCTGGTTATCACCACCCACCGCCAACTCTTGGGCTATTCTTTCACCAACGAATAATGGGATTGACCATCACATTATAACGTCCCCATGGCTAAAAGGGCAAGCATGTTTGATGTGACAGGGATTCGAACCCACGATCCTCAGATTGCGAGTCGACCACCCTGAGCACCTGGCCATGCCGGGCCACCTGTCCTATTTTAAACAGTTTAGTTTAATGTTTGTTTATAGTATAAGCTACACAATGGGTTATCTGTGCTCTGCCCACCCGGTTTCTAGCGCTGTAGGTCCGCAGACATACCGCTGTGCCACTGGGGGGGGGGGGTCGTTTAGTTTAATAGAATACGTATTTGATGTATGATGCTCTGTCAGGAAACAATGATAACCTTTGGATTGGCTTCATCCAGATTGGATGGCTATTGCTCCTGATATCATGGCCACAGTGATATCATTGATAGTGGTACTGTATATATGATCACTATGATGCATGGTCATCAACATACCACATGTTATATACATGCTTGTAAAATATATATAGCTAATGTATATATATATCCTGTAGCTATATGGGAAGTCAGTAAACACTGTATTGGAGGGACTATTGAACTATACTGAAATGGTGCATGGACTGGATTTTGTACTAGCATAAGTTTTACACATGCAATGCATATTGGTTAGTATTTATAAGTATATGTATACATATAGGCTTTATAGTAATTTTTAAGTTGTAGAGCCGTATATAAAGATAGTCATATGAATTTTTCAAATTGTATAGACGCATGCATGCATATTCACTGCAAATATAATAAAATGTGTCCTAATACAATAGCATATTTATACAAATAAGCATTTTTAATATTTCTTATAGTTGTTATATTTCACCTTCCTCTTCATCCTTTTCCTCTCTGCTGGCCATAGTAAAGCTGATCAAGGTTTTGGTGCATCTTGCCAGATTTCCTCTTGAAGCGACATTCTACACACTCGACAAGGTCGAGAACGTGTTAATTAACAATTATGACTTGATTATATTAGTATACCTCCACACCCCCTTCACTTCTGATGGAGGTTCGGTCGTGATACTTTACGACCCTCTTCCACTGTGATGACCCTAAACTCTATAAAATTTTTACCTCACTTTGGCCTAGAATCACCATCATTTTTGCCATCTCCTTCTTGCACGGTTTTTACCACTCCTTATAGTCAGTTTCAATTATGACTACTCTATCTGCAGTGTCTATAAGATTCGCAATCAGGCAGTGTGAGCTATAATTCGACACTTAGGATAAGCAAACACTGTTGTGGGAGACTAACTCATACGGTTCATGATGATTTACTGTAGCTATTGACTATTTGATCGCATTAGTTCGAGATGTAAAATGTCAAGATGCAGCTGGAGATTTTCATGGAGATTTTGTTTAGAATATAGTGAGCATTTATAGTTTCTGTAAAGCTAAATTTTATCTATATAATGCATAGCAATGGATATATGTATGCCCAGACTAAGACACAACCCCACTAAGCGCATATAAAAGTCTACCAGTAGAAAAGTAGCCTTTTCAAATAAAATATCGCTCTAAATAAACCTTCGTGTTTTTAAAGCAATTATGCTATGAATGTGTGTAATAAAATTTAATATTATGTGTATTTATTTCATTTTTTTTTTATCCTTCACTTCGTACATAATATAGGGGTTGGATCCATAAAGACTCCGATTGTATAGTGTACAAAGTGTTTCTACATGCTACAGTCATCTAATATTCATTTATTATTGGCTGATAATTCCTCTTTCACCTTGTACGTAAGCTTCTTAAAGGAACACTAGATGTTTGTAAGAAAACTGACTTCCAGGGATAATGATAACATCGTTTACACTAGAATTACGATTTTTTTTAGAGTACGAAAAATATAGAAATAACCTAAAACGTATCCTACGCAATGCACAATGATCCGTTTAGTACTAATGTCCAGGTTTGATTGTAACACTCGCGCTCATTTTTGCTGTAGGCCCATTTGTTCTTATTCCACCATAAAGTCCCCCAGTGGCACAGCGCTATGTCTGTGGACTTAAAACGCTAGAAACCTATTATAAACCACTATTGTGGTTCATGATACAAGTAAATATATTCATACATACACTAATTTGACATTAGTAGCTGCGGATTTTGAGTTCAGAAAATTTTTGCAACTGGAACTTCCAATATACTTTTTCAACGTAAAATATATTTTATTTTTGTAATGTGTAAAAGACTACTTAGCCTTAACATAAAGACGTATTTCTAATACTTGTGTGTATATGTATATATACATATGTGTGTGTAATTTAATCTGAAGTATATTTGTTCAATATTTTTGTGAATATACATAACATTGTAGATACTTGTTCAAAAAATGATATTCCAATCAAAGTTGGCAATATCAACAAATCTGCGGACTTACAACACTAGAATCCGGGTTTCGATACCCGTGGTGGGCAGAGCACAGATCGTCCATTGGGTAGCTTTGTGCTTGATTACAAACAAACTATATATATGACAATATCAACAAATCTGCGGACTTACAACACTAGAATCCGGGTTTCGATACCCGTGTTGGGCAGAGCACAGATCGTCCATTGGGTAGCTTTGTGCTTAATTACAAACAAACTATATATATGACAATATCAGAAAAAGCCTCCATTTAATGATATAAGACTAAAGTTTTATTTATTTTAAACATCTTTGAACCTCCACTGCGTTTTCAGCTTTACAAATTAAAAACATTAAATTCATTTAATATATATATAATGAAAGGGTATTTTAGTGGATTGTATTTATATCACTTTTCAAACATTAGTATAAAGTGATTAATCAAATAACAATTGAGTACTTATTACGCTGTCGTGAAGCAACTAATAGGCTCATTTTATCAAAATGTTTGTTTGGTTGTTACTGGTAGGTAAACTGTTTATTCTACGGAAGAATGAATGGTAATTTATCGATACTAACTTGGAGCGATTAAGATTTATTATTTAAAAGAACAGTTTTGACTGGAAGGTTGAAACTTCTAAGTGTAAATTGATAAGTATTGATTTGTTTAATTGATTTAACATCTTCTATAGATGGTCCTAGGCTATACACATTTTGAATCCAAATACTTATGAGACCATGTAATTTCAATTTCATTAAAATTAATGTTTTTTTATTGCTTACAAGAAACGCATTTCACTTGCAATCTTAGGTAAGTATAGAGATTAAGAGAGACAGATGATTCGCAAATGCTTGATGATAAAAGTACATTTCTGTTATACATATTTGAATGTGTATGCACATGTTAACATAAAGAAATGCGTTTATGTATTGCAAATCATTTTAAGAGCGAGAAACAAGATGTAAATGAGAGATTGCAATTTGACAAACAAATATTACTTTACAAACATGTAAATACATCGCATAGTAACTCACTGTACGAATATTACGCCTAAATTACTAATTTTTTTCCCTTGGTGACTTTGGATGATAAGATTTATTTCTTCAGGAGATAATATACCTAGGATTCATGCTGTTACCAATAATCTCAAGTTACAGAAGTAACTGTCAAGTATTTTGTGATATCTGAAAAATTACCTAGTAGTTTTCGGAGTTTTAGTGTTGTGTGTGTATATATATATATGTATATGTATGTATGTATTTCAAGTGTTGTCGATATAAGTGAATACAGTATTCAAGTTTTGTCCATATAAGTGAATACAGTACTCAAGTTTTGTGTATATAAGTGAATGCAGTATTCAAGTTTTGTGGATGTAAGTTTATACAGTATTCAAGTTTTGTGGATGTAAATGTATTAGTTTTGTGAATGTAAGTGTATGCAGTATTCAAGTTTTGTGGATATAAGTGAATGCAGTGTTCAAGTTTTGTGGATGTAAGTTTATACAGTATTCAAGTTTTGTGGATGTAAATGTAACATCCACAAAACTTGAATACTGTATAAACTTACATCCACAAAACTAATACGCTTATATTCACAAAACTTGAACACTGCATTCACTTACATCCACAAAACTTGAATACTGCATACACTTACATCCACAAAACTAACTGACAGACGTACTTGGTTTAAGTTGAGTCTGATATGTATACGTGCTTATAGGGAGCAGAATACGCAAACTCGTCCAACCTCCTTTTTTAAACCTTGAATACTGTATATACTTGTATCATCAAAACTAATACACTTACATTCATAAAACTTGAATACTGTATACACTTACATCCACAAAACTTGAATACTGTATATACTTACATCCACAAAACTTGAATACTGTATACACTTACATCCACAAAACTAATACACTTACATCCACAAAACTTGAATACTGTATACACTTACATCCACAAAACTTGAATACTTTATATACTTATATCCACAAAACTAATACACTTACATGCACAAAACTTGAATACTGTATACACTTATATCCACAAAACTTGAATACTGTATACACTTACATCCACAGAACTAATACATTTACATCCACAAAACTAATACAATTACATTCACAAAACTTAAATACCATATACATTTACATCCACAAAACTAATACACTTCGAAATTTCCTTTTGAAGCTAAAGTAACCGAGAATGTTGTCAAACATTGGAAAATGTGTTTTATTTCCATGTTTATGTGGTTATTAATGCATTGCGTCCAAGGTAATTAATGGTCGTAGAATATTCTATGAATCTTAATTTGGGTGTTATTTAATTTGTTAATGGACAGAAGCCTAATTAATCACCCAATTATCATTCCTTACAGAATTAGTAGCCTATGATATAAAATTCAATTATCCAAATTACTGTTTTTAAAATTCCTTTCACGTTTGTGCAATTTTTTTTTATTATCGCTTCAAATGATGTTGTCGGTTTTTTGATAGAAGTTAATGATGGTAAAGACGAAAATTATGATTGCAAAACATGGTAAAGTAGTTCTTGTCTTTAAAAAATGTGCATAATATAATTTTCTTGACCAGTAAACTATTATTTAACAGATAAAACCTTACCAAAACCACCATTCGGAGCAATAGAATCAAAGGAAATCGCGGACATCCCGCTTCTTATAGGTAAGTATAATATATGTTTATGATGACAGCTTTTTTTTTGGCTTTATTTCAGTACAGTTCTACTTTATAGATTATAAAGAATTATGTGAGATTTGGTTGTGTGTGAGACGAACCTCCTTCAGTAAACTGAAGACATTTTAAATTCAAACAGTCCACACACGTTTTGATTTATAAAATAAGAAAGGCTTAAAGTAGAATGTAAAAAAAAAACACTAGTAAAAAAAATTGCAGCTAAACTGAACTAAAATGCAAAATGTAAAAAAAAAGGAAATAACGCTTCAATTAACTCTTTAAAATGTGTCGAATCAGAATCTTAAAGCTACTTTGTATTTTAAAATTTGAAAGTGAGGAATTAATGATTTTTTTCCCCGATTCGTCAACTTTTTTGTTCGATTTTAAACAGTTTGTCCCATCAATGTAAATATGTAATTTCGTTTTAATTAGGATATTTATAAACAAACTACCGCTTGGCAATCATTTCTTGTCGGTTAACTCGTGTATTTTTAAATCTGCCAAAAATCACGATACAATGAAAAATATACCTGCATAGTATGACAGTAAAGTGACGGTTTTTAAATCAACCGTTAAACAAGCTCAGTTTATTAATGTCTAGTATCTTAGTAGTGCTAGTATGACGGATACATTAATTTCCATTTGATATCAACATACATGTTCGAACCCACGTCACACCAAACATGCTCGCCCTTTCAGCCGTGGGGGCGTTATAATATTACGGTCAATCCCACTATTCGTTGGTAAAAGAGTAGCCCAAGAGTTGGTGGTGGGTGGTGATGACTAGCTGCCTTCCCTCTAGTCTTACACTGCTAAATTAGGGACGGCTAGCGTAGATAGCCCTCGTGTAGTTTTGCGCGAAATTCAAAACAAACAAAATCAACATACATCAATCACTGTAGCAATCATATCACGTGACCTGTAATACTATATCCAATGAAATTTGGCTTTACCCATAAATATTTTGAACATGTTAAATATCACTGAGTTTGAGGTGCTTCATTTGCACTTATTGTCAACTGTTCTTTGTTTTTACACTTAAACTAGTGCCCCTAGGCTTATAAAATTAAAAACCCGGTTTCGATACCCGTAGTAGGCACAAAACAGATAACCCATTAGTGTGTAGAAATTAAATTAGTGTTTTTATGCTACCGAAACTGTGGCCGTATATTTTAGTACATCGTAAGTTTTATATCAGCATCATATTAATTTGAGCCAATAGAAAACTGCAGAATGTAATCTAAGGGTGTTCTCTTGTTATGATGAATTGATAACGATGTTCGGGAAACCAAAAATGGCAGTAACCTAATGGCCCCATCGACTACGTACATCATAAGATCTAATATATTTGCCTGCTGTTGTATATTTGTATATTTGCATTTGGGAGAAGTGACGATATTGATTTCATTAAAAGTCATGTGGAAAATATCATCCTGGTTACGTTCTTCTGGTTCGTATACGGTGCAGAGATGATCGGATGATGTAAAGATGTATTTCTTTCTGGTTCGTATACGGTGCAGAGATGATCAGATGACGTAAAGATGTATTTCTTCTGGTTCGTATACGGTGCAGAGATGATCGGATGATGTAAAGATGTATTTCTTTCTGGTTCGTATACGGTGCAGAGATGATCAGATGACGTAAAGATGTATTTCTTCTGCTTCGTATACGGTGCAGAGATGATCAGATGACGTAAAGATGTATTTCTTCTCCTTCGTATACGGTGCAGAGATGATCAGATGACATAAAGATGTATTTCGTCTGTTCGTATACGGTGCAGAGATGATCAGATGACGTAAAGATGTATTTCTTCTGTTTCGTATACGGTGCAGAGATGATCAGAAGACGTAAAGAGGTATTACTTCCAACAAGAATCATCTGAATAACATCCACTTCCTAAAAGAAAAAAAAAAGATTTTTCTCCTGGATCGGCTTTTTTGTTGTTTGTTTCTAGGTAACTTGACCACCGTTTCTAAGAAAAAAACATGTACGAGTAGAGAAAGTATCATGTATTTAAAATTTAAAAGATCATCTATATGTACAGTTAAGAATCGTTTTTTTTTCTTAATGAAGAATGGAAGAAAAACTGAAGCCGAGAAGAAAATGATTGTATATATATATATATAGCTTGTCCCGCTAGTTAGGGTGTTACTAAACTGATAACATGTTCTACATTATATATGAACGGATGTACAACCTAGTCTGTTAACTACTATACTTCTCTATTCCTTCACATATAGATACTTCATCTTCAGAGATATAAGAATGTTATTAGTCATCTCATCATATTTCTGTTACGCTGCCGTTAGAGATTCATAAATTATTAAGTATCAACCACTCGCCTAAACTTACAGATCTGCCCAGGTCTAATGAACATATTTGGAGTCAATTTTTACTCGTGATAGGATTTCGTCGGTGCCGATATATTATTAATCTCGAATGAGTAATAAGCGTGTATACCGATGGGACGGCGGACAGTCAATAGACTTACAACGCAAAACATCCGGGGTTCGATTCCCCGCGGTGAACACGGCAACTAGTCCAATGTGACTTTGCTCTGAAACAAACAAACAAACAAACACATATGTTGTTGTTCGTTGAATTAAACTTTGTGGGCTGGTTATCTGCACAAACATCCTGAATTTTGAAGTGATAGACTAGAGGGAAAGTAACAGTCAACATCATCCACCAACAACTCGTGGGCTACACTAATGGAATAGTGTGATTGGCCCATACACTTATAACACATCCATGACTCCAAACTTTGGAGCGCGTTTTTTGTTGTTGTATTCTATATATTGACTGGTCACTTTACTAATACCCCCCACCCTATATCAGATTACATTACTGTCGTAGTAATAAGAACATCACTCCAATGTGGATTAGACTCCACAAACCCCCAGTTCAGTTGCAGCCCACTGGTTGGGTCGTATGATCCACAAATGTTTGTAGAAGATTACGGAGGCGAAGGCAAAGTTCACTTTGAAAATGCTCAATTGTGTAGCCACATGGTGATCCTGTTTATCAAGAAAGGTGATGAATATCTGAACAACAGTTTCACTGAATACAAATGTGAAGAACGTGTACACTTGCCCTTTTGAAGGAACCAAAGAACCAAAGTCCAACATCATTTTCTACTGTCGAATAAATATATTTATATCTTATCACCAGCACAGAAAAGTATTTCATTATAACTAGTTTCTGTTCCTGTTTACGTTTGGGACTAGTAGTTTCATGACTGTCACGTGACAGTTTAATAATGACCGTTTCTCTAGTACGATTGGAGCTGGTTGGATCCTGACTACTGTTAGGGGAATCGGAGCCCGATGTCGATTATTTCATTCCTAGTTAAACCACCAACTTTGGGCGGCCATAGCTTTATCTAGTGACAAAAACATGCACCCTTTCGATTTCCACTTCTGACATCTTCTGAAACAGATGTCTGTGCGTGCACAGCTAGTTAAAAAAAAAACCTCTTTGTCAACGACGCTCCTATTTTACCTGCACTGAATATCATTGTTTCGTTGAATTTCGCACAAAGCTACTCGAGGGCCATCTGCATTAGCCGTTCCAAATTTTGAATTGATAGACTAGAGAGAAGGCAGCTAGTCAGTACCACTCGCCGCCAACTCTTTGGCTACTCTTACCAACGGATAGTAAGTTTGGCTGTCACATTATAACGCCCTCACACTTCAAAAGGCGAACATTTTCGAAATTCGACTCCGCAACGCGCAGATTGAGAGTCGAGCGCTCTAACCAAGTATTATTTTGTTTTGCAAGTTTGCAAAAATCTTGTTTATACTAATGGACTTGCAAAGTAATCATCATATGACCACACCTCTGTATTTATAGGGCTCAAGCTATGGCCTAAAGAGCGCATAGCCGGTATATGTATATTTGAAATAAATGTGGAGTTTCATAAGTCCATATGTGAATTGGTAAATTCTTGAAGGAACGTTCTTCTGATTGAGGGGTGAACGGTAATTAATTACAATACAATTTTTAGTTGATAGCAACTTTTACTAAGTAAGTGTCGCTCACATATCACAGCTATCAGCATATATTAAACACAAGCTGAAGTACCTGTTGAACGAGAGGATGAGACATATATGGGTCCCCTAGGGTGACGTAGAAGGATCAGATCCGAGCCCCGATTCTCAGTGCCGCTCTTCTTGGGGCCGTAAGGTTACATCCTAGGTTTGGTGACAATAGGGTTAGCGGTTCCCTAGTTACACTAAGGATTCAAAACATAAATACAGATTTTAAAGAATAAAGTTTAGAAAACTTACATTTTATAGAGATGACTTAGCCCTAAAAATGGCCGCAAACAAATAAATAGCAAGCATTTATTGAAGTGATTTCATGTCAGACTCCGCCATGTAATATCACAAATAATAGATCCTAGAAGTGTATTTATGCGTGACTAAGCTCACAAATAATAGATTCTAAAAGTGTCTTAATGCGTGACTGAGCTCACAAATAATATATTCTAAAAGTGTCTTTATGTGTGACTAAGCTCACAAATAATATATTCTAAAAGTGTCTTAATGCGTGACTAAGCTCACAAATAATAGATTCTAAAAGTGTCTTAATGCGTGACTGAGCTCACAAATAATATATTCTAAAAGTGTCTTAATGCGTGACTGAGCTCACAAATAATATATTCTAAAAGTGTCTTAATGCGTGACTAAGCTCACAAATAATATATTCTAAAAGTGTCTTATGTATGAGTAAGCTCACAAATAATAGATTCTAAAAGTGTCTTAATACGTGACTAAGTTTTTTAATATGTGAGTGAGCCATTATTCAGGATGAAAGATTGTTTAAAATATTAATATTTTCCGAACGTTTTAATTTCGTTGACAGAGGTTTTGTTTTGCAAAGCATAATAAAAACTCTTAAAAATGTACAATAACGACAAATAGTGGGTCATATTTCTGAATCTATTTGTATTCGTAAGACCAAAAAGTATTTTTAATAGTCTCGAA